TATTATTATTATTATCATTTATAATTTTTATTTATTTTTGTGGTTTATAAGGGCTTTAATGGCTCCTTAAAGTTACACTAAATTCAGGTCTAAAAATGTCATTGAAATCAAGCTTGTTTCCCTAACTCAAAGTCGCTCCTATAGCTCTCAGCCTCTTCCAAACTCCAAATAATGTTCATTTGTTTTTGTTTTTTTTAGCACATGTGATTCATCTGTGTTCCTCCCCAGAAGGACAGCACCACCTTTTTTCAATGAACTTTCACAGTTTTGGTGACAATCATTGGAATCATTGGGGAAGGTCAAATTACTTATTGTTATAATTATTATTATTATTATTAAGTTAATATTATTAGTAAGTTGATATATCACATCAGGGTATAAGTTTAAACATTGGGAAAAAAAACAATTAAAAAATCAAGCAAGTAAAAACAAATAACTACAAAGACTAAAAATATTTAAAAAAAACTTTAAAAAAAGCTAAAAAAAACCCCTAAAAAGCTTAAAAACTTAAAACAAAAAACACGTAAAAAAAGCTAAAATATATAAGGATCAATTACTGCAGCTCTTAGTAAGTTGATACATCAGGCTCTATGCTTAGAAATAGGGGGAAAAAAACTAAAAAGAATCAAACAAGTATAAAAAAAAAAAATAACTAAAAAGGCTAAAAAAATATATTAAAAAAACCTTAATAAAAACCCCTAAAAAGCTTAAAAACCTAAAACAAAAACACATAAGAAAAGCTGAAATATATAAGGATCAATTACTGCAGCTCTTAGTAAGTTGATACACCAGGGTATAAGTGTAAAATAGGGGGGAAAAAATTAAAATCAAGCAAATAAAAAAAAATAACTACAAAGACTAAAAATATTTAAAAAATACTATAAAAAAGCTAAAACAAACACCTAAAAAGCTTAAAAACCTAAAACAAAAAACACATAAGAAAAGTTAAAATGTATAAGGATCAATTACTGCAGCTCTTAGTAAGTTGATACATCAGGCTCTATGTATAGAAATAGGGTGAAGAAAAAATTAAAAAGAATCAAACAAGTAAAAAAAAAAAATACAGAGGCTAAAAATATATAAAAAAAAAACCTTAATAAAAACCCCTAAAAAGCTTAAAAACCTAAAGCAAAAAACACATAAGAAAAAGCTGAAATATATAAGGATCAATTACTGCAGCTCTTAGTAAGTTGATACATCAGGCTCTATGTACAGAAATAGGGAAAAAAAAAAAAATTATCAAACAAGTAAAAAAAAAATAACTAAAAAGGATAAAAATATATTTAAAAAAACCTTAAAATAACCTTAAAAAACCTAAAACAAAAAAAACATAAGAAAAGTTAAAATATATAAGGATCAGTTACTGCAGCTCTTAGTAAGTTGATACATCAGGCTCTATGTACAGAAATAGGGAAAAAAAAAAAAAAATTATCAAACAAGTAAAAAAAAAATAACTAAAAAGGCTAAAAATATATTTAAAAAACCTTAAAATAACCTTAAAAAACCTAAAACAAAAAAAAAACATAAGAAAAGTTAAAATATATAAGGATCAGTTACTGCAGCTCTTAGTAAGTTGATACATCAGGCTCTATGTACAGAAATAGGGAAAAAAAAAAAAAATTAAAACAAGTAAAAAAAAAATAACTAAAAAGGCTAAAAATATATTTAAAAAACCTTAAAATAATAAAAAACCTAAAACAAAAAAAACATAAGAAAAGTTAAAATATATAAGGATCAGTTACTGCAGCTCTTAGTAAGTTGATACATCAGGCTCTATGTACAGAAATAGGGGAAAAAAAAAATTATCAAACAAGTAAAAAAAAAAAAAATAACTAAAAAGGCTAAAAAATATATTTAAAAAACCTTAAAATAACCTTAAAAAACCTAAAACAAAAAAAACATAAGAAAAGTTAAAATATATAAGGATCAGTTACTGCAGCTCTTAGTAAGTTGATACACCAGGGTATAAGTGTAAAATAGGGAGGAAAAAATAAAAATCAAGCAAATAAAAAAAATAACTACAAAGACTAAAAATATTTAAAAAATACTTTAAAAAAAGCTAAAACAAACACCTAAAAAGCTTAATAACCTAAAACAAAAAACACATAAGAAAAGTTAAAATATATAAGGATCAATTACTGCAGCTCTTAGTAAGTTGATACATCAGGCTCTATGTATAGAAATTGGGGGAAGAAAAAATTTAAAATAATCAAACAAGTAAAAAAAAAAATACAGAGGCTAAAAATATATAAAAAAAAAACCCTTAAAAAAGCTTTAAAACCTAAAACAAAAAAACACAAAAGAAAAGTTAAAATATATAAGGACCAATTACAGCAGCTCTTAGTAAGCTGATACATCAGGCTCTATGTATAGCAATAGGGAAAAAAACTAAAAAGAATCAAATAAAAAAAAAAAAACCAAAGGCTAAAAAAAAAAAAAAAAAAAAAAAACCCTAAAAAAAAAAAAAAAAAAATCTAATAATGCTTAAAAAAACTTAAATAATTTGCAAATATAATGTATCGGTGCTCCACTTTGCCCCCTGAGGGGGTCCCATGTTATAATAATTTCAGACAAATGTTACATGGAGAAGCAAATGAAAGAGATTCTTGTCCCGGGTGGCCTGGTTTTCTCGCTCGCTTTATTACTTTATACGTCAATTAACACGCTGCAATTTAGCAGAACAAACTCCTGAAATGATGTGTCAGCACTTGGGCGCGGTCAGGTGGTGCGCACACAACGGGACGCTCTGTGCCCGCGCCGCGCTCCCTGCCAGCTGAGGCGGGTGGGTGACACGCTGTGAAACTGCTGACCTTTGCGGTCGAGGGTTTAATCTCCGACGTTCAGACACAAACTCAGATTGTTACAGCGACTCGTCTGTCTGCGACGGCGACTTCGATGATGGTCGCGCCGCGGCGAAGGACGGAGCTGCCTGTCACATCCCAGCGGGACTGTTCCTTAAAGCGGCTGCAAAGATTTTATGTTTTTTTTATATTAAATTGATGAATGCGTCGTACTTACCTGCTCTGTGAATGAATATTGCGTGGAGCAGCCCTGAACCTCCTCTTCTCCGGTGCTCTCTAGCTGCTCGCTATGGGGGAGAGACGTGCAGGCCGGGCTGTGCGCATCTATAGACACAGATAGCGCGGCTCTGCCCCACTCCTCTGCTCATAGAATGGGCTCCCGCTGCTGCCTGTGAGAGAGGAGAGAGCAGCTGCAGACGGGCACAGCGCTGGATCGAGGTAGGTATGTGTGGGTGTGCAAGGACGTCCCTAGGCAGGTGCAGGGGGGTGACACCAACCCTAGAGATGCCCCTGTGTGTGTGTATGGGGGGGGGGGGGCATGATTGCCTTTAGAACCACTTTAAATTCAGCCTGTGCTTTGCCACTGCAGGTTTAAAAGGGAACTCCAGGCGAAACACCAATTTTTCTTGCTCAAACCGAAACAGGTCCTCCACATTGTCCGGTATTTGCCTCTTGATACCGCCGGTCCTCCTGCTGTGGTCTCATTTCCCGTACCGGACCAACCACGCCGTGCTGATTTTGTAGCATTGACGGCCCTCGGATCTTTGCATTGCAATGCTGGTGTTGCCGATCAGTGCCTCCTCATTCATCTGTACCAGACCTCGGTGAATTGTGGCCCCCAGGGCCACCTCCGGCCCAAGGCTGTCCCTATTAAGGCCCTTGATGCCTCCAATGAGGAAGCTCAGGGAGGTCCACTGATAGATGTCCACGTGGAGAGCTGCAAGAAATGGAAGGAGAGAGCTTGAGGAGCTGATCAGCCCAACAGAGAGGTTCGGTTCTGGTAATAGGGCATTGACTAGGAGACATCCTGACAAACCTGACATCCTGACAATCCCGACATTCTGACAATCCCGACATCCCAAAAATCCTGACAATCCCGATATCCCGACAATCCCGACATCCCGACAATCCTGACATCCCAACAATGCCGACATTCTGACAATCCCGACATCCCGACAATCCTGACAATCCCGACATAATCCCGACAATCCTGACATCCCGACAATCCCGACATTCTGACAATCCCGACATCCCAAAAATCCTGACATCCCGACAATCCGATTAATCCCGACAATCCCGACATTCCGACCGAATCCTGACATCCCAACATCCCAAACAATGCTGACATTCTGACAATCCCGACATCCCAACAATCCTGACATCCCGATATCCCAACAATCCTGACATCCCGACAATCCCGACAATTCTGACAATCCCGACATCCCAACAATCCTGACACATCCCGATATCACGACAATCCCGATATCCCCAACAACCCTGAACATCCCAATCGCCGAAATCCCCACAATCCCGACATCCCGACAATCCCGACAATCCCAACATCCGACAATCCCCACACATCCCCCCGACAATCCCGTCAATCTCGACACATCCCGACAATTCCGAGATCCCGACAATCTCCCACCACTTTGCTACTCGGCCAAGTTCTTCCTGTGCGGGAGCCTTCATGCTGCCAACTCTGGGATCTGTGCGCTCGATCTGCACTCAGGTCAGGATCCGCAGCAATCCCGCTGTGCTGATCTCAGGATCCCTCCTTCCAGTCGCAGGGACAGGCAGCGAGGAAATGTTATGTCGGCAATCACATGCAGAGGTGCCGCGGCCCCATTCAACTCAGTAGGCAGGTTTGGCCAGAGTTGTACTTGTCACAGCTTACATACCAGGCTGTGGAATGGGACAACACCATCCAGCTGTTATTCTACAGTTTGGGTGTGTGGCCAGCTAGGGGGGCAGTAAAACCGTGGCTTTAAAAACTGTGCCGTTTTTTTACCACCCCTCCCCCCCTATTTTTCACCGACTCTATCATTCATGACCTACTCTATCATTCCTAGGTGCCAGGTTCTATAATGTTTTCGTACTTATAAACTATATAACCTCTTGGGTCCGAAATTAATGTTGCATTCACTATATTCCGCTCTCCCTGGACCCTGCATTCACTATAATCCGCTCTCTCCCCGGACCCCTGCATTCACTATATCCGCTCTCCCCGAACCCCGCATTCACTATAATCCCGCTCTCCACGGTCTCCCGACCCGGACACCCACATTCACTATATCCGCTCTCCCCCGACCCCGCATTCACTATATACTCTGGTCTCCCGGACCCCGCATTCACTATATCCGCTCTCCCCCGGGGACCCCGCATTCACTATATCTGGTCTCCCACAGTACACAGAACATGGAAATGCAATTATCTTTAGTAAATATAAACTGCTAAATACCTTTTCTCATCAACAGTATATAGCAGTCTTGTGACTTCAGCAGAGCACCTGGTTATAACTTGTAGGAGGAGCTTTCTTTCTGCTCTAGGAGGATGCAGAACCCCTGACCCTCTGTCTGCACAGTGCTGATTGGCCCTGTGCTAATCACATGTACTGTCCCAAGAAAAAAAAAAAAACACCTCTCTAGCAATACACACTAAACTGAGCATGTGCAGAAGGACTACAGGTTCAGTCTGTCTTATCAGTGTGGACATTTGAACAAGAGGAAGATCAGAGAAGACAGGATCAAACAGCCTTTTTACAACAATGCAGAGGATTAACTCCTTAGGTTCCACAGTGAGTATAACAAGCATGCTTTACTGCATCTACAGACTGATTATACTGTTGGGGTTTACAAAAAATAAAAAACCTTTAGCCTTTGATTAGCCTCTGTTTAATACTGAGGTTGTCAGATACAATATCAGGATTAAAGTGGTAGTAAAGTCTTATTTGTTTATTTATTCCTACAGGTAAACCTATAATAGGGCTCCCCTGTAGGCACTGCACTCTCAATGGACAGAGAGTCCCACGCACATGCGTGGAAGTGACATCATCGCTGCTTGGCCAGTCAGACGGCTGCAGTCTGCAAACCCAGAAAGAAGACCGAGAGAAGATGGAAGCCCCAGGGGAGCTGAGGCAGCGCTCCACGGCAGGGCTTTGCTTTCAGGTAAGTCCTTCATGACGTGCTAGTATGTGATGCATACTAGCACATTATGAGGAGGGTATCTTGTTTTATTTTTGTTGTGGTTTACTACCACTTTAAACAGTAATATTAACAAAAAAAATGCTTACATATTTGTGCATTTGTCAACCTATATTAGAAGAGAATAAATACATAAATGAATATATAAATATAAATATATATATATATATATATATATATATATATAAAAGAGAGAGAGAGAGAGAGAGAGAGAGAGGTATACACCTTTAGGCTTGATAAAAAAAAAAACAACCGTATTTGTTTTATACTGTATTTGTCAGATACAATAACAGTATTAAATAATAATAAGTTTACAAGTAGAAGAAAAAAACATATTTTTTACATTTTCAATATATTGAATAAATCCTTATGTGTCCTAAAAAATATATAAATACATAAATAATGTAATATATTTATCTTTAGGCTTGATTGGCAAAAAAAACCCCTTCATCCTTAGATTAGCCCCTGTTTTAGACTGTATTTGTCAGATACAATATCAGTATTAAATAATAATAAGTTTACAAGTAGAAAAAAAACATTTTCAATATATTGAATAAATCCTTGTGTCCTAAAAAAAAATATATAAATACATAAATAATGTATTATATTTATCTTTAGGCTTTATTGGCAAAAAAACTCCCTTCACCCTTAGATTAGCCCCTGTTTTATACTGTATTTGTCAGATACAATATCAGTATTAAATAATAATAAGTTTACAAGTAGAAAAAAACATATTTTTAAAATTTTCAATATAATGAATAAATCCTTAGATTAGCCTGTGTTTTATACTGTATTTTTCAGATACAATAACAGTATTAAATAATAATAATAATAATAATAATCCTTATGTGTCCTAAAAAAAATATAAATACATAAATAATGTATTATATTTATCTTTAGGCTTGATTGGAAAACAAACCCTTCACCCTTAGATTAGCCTTTGTTTTTTATACTGAATTTGTCAGATACAATAACAGTATTTAATAATAATAATAATAATAATAATAATAATAATAATAATAAGTTTACAAGTACAAAAATAAAAATTTTTCCACGTTCTATATGATGAAAAAAGCCTGTGTCCTCAAAAATATATAAATACATAAATCAAGAAATATATACTGTATATCTTTAGGCTTGATTGACAAAAAAAAAACCCCAAACCCTTTCATCTTTATATTGGCATTTGTTTTATACTGTTATTGTCTGATACAATAACAGCATTAAACAATAATAAGTTTACAAGTAGAAAAAAAAAAAAACATTTTCTTTTACATTTACATGTTCAATATATTGATTAAAAGCCTTGTATGTTTTAGAAAATATATAAATGCATTAAAAAAAAAAAAAATAAATAAAATATATATAATATATATATATATATATATCTTTATTCTTGATTGGCTAAAAAACCCTTAATCCTTATATTAGCCTTTGTTTTATACTGTTAATGTTAGATAAAATAACAGTATTAAACAATAATATGTTTACAAGTAGAAATTCTTTTTTTTACATTTACATATATTTTTTAGGACACATAAGGATTTATTCAATATATTGAAAATGTAAAAAATATGGGTTTTTTTCTACTTGTAAAAAACCCTATAAAAATATGGACTGTAATCAATCTAATCAGAGCATCTGATGGGCAGGGCATGGGTGCTCTCATACAATTGTATTATCGCTAATAAACATATGATTCGGAACTCTCGTGCTGCAAGGTTATTTATTTCAGGTGTAAAGCCGTGAAATCCCTAATCAACTTATTATTTAATACTGTTATTGTATCTGACAAATACAGTATAAAACAAAGGCTAATCTAAGGATGAAGGGGTTTTTTTTTTTTTTGCCAATCAAGCCTAAAGATAAATATATGTTATTATTTATGTATTTATATATTTTTTAGGACACATAAGGATTTATTCGATATATTGAAAATTTTAAAAATATGTTTTTTTTTTTCTACTTGTAAACTTATTATTATTTAATACTGTTATTGTATCTGACAAATACAGTAGAAAACAAAGGCTAATCTAAGGATGAAGGGTATTTTTTCGCCGATCAAGCCTAAAGAGATATATATTATATATAAAACTTATATTTTACATGCTGAGTATGTTGAATATAAGCCTTATATGACCTAAAAAATATATAAATGCACCAATTATATATATATATATATATATATATATATATATATATGTATATTTGTGTATTTGTATATTTTTTAGGTCATATAAGGCTTATATTCAATATACTCAACATGTAAAATCTTTTTTTTTTCTAATATATATATATATATATATATATATATATATATATATATATATAAAACAAATGAATATATATATACAGTTGCAAGAAAAAGTATGTGAACCCCTTGGGATTACGTGGAGTTTTTGCATGAATTGGGCATAAAATGTGCTCTGAACGTCATCTAAGTCACAACAATAGAAGAACACAGTCTGCTGAACATAATACTACACAAACATTAGATGTTGCCATGGTTTAATTGCACATAACATGTAAGCATTCACAGTGCAGGGAGGAAAAAGTATGTGAACCTTTGGACTTTTAACTGGTTGACCCTCCTTTGGCAGCAATAACCTCAACCAAACGTTTCCTGTAGTTGCAGATCAGACCTGCACAATGATCTGGAGTCATTTTGGACCACTCCTCTTCACAAAACTGTTTCAGTGTAGCAATATTCTTGGGATGTCTGGTGTGAATCGCTCTCTTAAGGTCGTGCCACAGCATTTCAATGGGGTTGAGGTCAGGACTCTGACTGGGCCACTCCAGAAGGCGTATTCTGTGCTGTTGCAGCCATTGTTTTGTTGAATGACTTGTATGCTTTGGGTCATTGTCCTGTTGCATCACCCATCCTCTGCGGAGCTTCAGTTGGTCAGATGGTCGTACGTTTTCCTGCTAAATGTCTTGATAAACTGTGGAATTAATTTTCCCATCAATGACAACAATCCGTCCAGGCCCTGAGGCAGCAAAGCAGCCCCAAACCATGATGCTCCCTCCGCCATGTTTCACAGTGGGGATGAGGTTTTGATGTTGGTGTGCTGTGCCTTTTTTTTCTCCACACATAGTGTTGTGTGTTTCTTCCCAAACAACTCAATCTTGGTTTCATCTGTCCACAGTATATTTTGCCAGTAGTGCTGTGGAACATCCAGGTGCTCTTTTGCAAACTTCAAACGTGCTGCAATCTTCTTTTTGGACAGCAATGGCTTCCTCCGTGGTGTCCTCCCATGTACTCCATTCTTGTTTAATGTTTTCCTTATTGTAGATGTGTCAACAAAAATGTTAGCATGTGCCTGAGATTTCTGTAGGTCTTTAGCTGACACTCTGGGATTCTTCTTTCCCTCATGCAGCATTCTGCGCTGTGCTTTCAGTCATTTTTACAGGACGACCACGCCTAGGGAGAGTAGCAACAGTGCTAAACTTTCTCCATTTGTAGACAGTCTGTCTTACCGTGGACACATGAACATCAAGGCTTTTGGAGATACTTTTGTAACCCTTTCCAGCTTCATGAAAGTCAACAATTCTTGATGGTAGGTCTTCTGAGAGCTCTTTTCTGCGAGGCATGGTTCACATCAGACAGTGCTTCTTGAAACCAGTAAACCCAAAACAGGTGTGTGTTTTTTAAGGGCAGGATAGCTGTGAGCAACACATCCAATATCATCACACTGATTGGAGTCAAGGTTGGCTCACTCCTGGCTCCAATTAGCTCTGGGAGAAGTCATTAAGCTAGGGCCTCACATACTTTTTCCTCCCTGCACTGTGAATGTTTACATGTTATGTGCAATTAAACCATGGCAACATCTAATGTTTGTGTAGTATTATGTTCAGCAGACTGTGTTCTTCTATTGTTGTGACTTAGATGACGTTCAGAGCACATTTTATGCCCAATTCATGCAAAACTCCATATATATATAAAACTCCGTATATTCGTTTATATAAAAAATTTATTCGGGATTTATGTATGTATTTATATTTTTTTTAGGATATATATATATTATATATAAAAAAAACATTTTATATGAAAATGAATATATACAGTATATATAAATTAATATATATTCATTTATGTAAATAAATTATATATAAATGTTTTATGTATGTATATATATATATATATATATATATAGATATTTATTTATTTATTTTTAAATAAATAAAAATATATATATATATATTATATATAATAAAACATTACAATGCGACCATCATGCTGCACATCAGCGGAGTCCGTTATTATGCGTGTTTGGATGACATCATACTCGGTTTCCTCGCCTGTCGCGGCACGCCTGGATGTGGCCTAGAGTTCCTATGCCAGCCCT